GAACGCTATCACGCTTTGGGATATGTGTATTTGGATAGGTTTATTGTCCTGTGAGACTGTCAATAGCAAAAAGGATATTGACTCCCAAAATACACATACATATAGTGTATTGGTTTTGTACTTAATTTAATGTACTTAATTATGTAGTTGCAATTTTAGATTAGTTTGTAGCTTTACTGCAATAATCTTTTGAAAAAGAACGAAAAAAGGGTACCGTTAGCTGGACGACCCAGATGACGAATATCATGTTTAAAAGATTCTAAAACAACGGCGCGGTGGTCATCTGGACCTGTTGCGATCGCAATTTCCAACAGAACAGACCTTTTGTGGGTATATTCACCATTTTTTTAGTGGAACATTTTCAGGAGCTAATACCGTCAGATTAGATTCTATATTTGCAGAGGTACCGAACCACTAACGGACAAAAAGTTTCAAAATATTAAGTATGTTCTCAAGGAAAATTTTTACAGAGGATTCCAGGACGTGGAATGACATATATCTAGCATGTATTCGACATGGGCTATTAGAGAAAAAAAGGCTTTCACCTTTGACCAAACATTTTCAGAGGGGAGTGTTTTTACTGCAAAAAATCCCACAGGATTTCGTCTGTTTCAAACATGCTTGGTCAAAGGTGAAGGCCTGTTTCTCTAATAGCCCATGTCGAGTACATGCGCGATATATGTCATTCCACGTCCTGTTATGGTGCAGTACGCACTCAAACTTTGGAAAACGTGGAGAATCGCCTTCAGAAGTTTTTTTCTATCATTAAACATTTTGTGATCTCAATGCAGACCACTTCATCGGATAGAGCTTGAAAAGATGCGTCGAATGCATATCTTTTTGTCTTGTGCGGATACGATCCACTAACCTGAGGAGGCGCTGTTTAACCGATGCTTGTTTCTTTGGAAGTGGAGGAGCAGCTAGGGCTACTGTCGACAGAATTACTTTTTTAATTATTTTTATTAATTCTGAACATGTTGGACGTTGATCCGGATTATGAGACCAAGAACTGATTATAATTGAACAAAATTCACCAGGGACATTTTGAGGAATCTCCAACCTTTCACCAGCTAACACAGATGTTCTTATAACTGATTCTTCATTAACATCATCAAATGGTATACAGCCAGTTGCCAGCTCCCAAAATACTATTCCTAGACTATAAATATCACTTTTTACCGTATATTCACCAAGTTCTAATAATTCTGGTGCTTTCCATTGAAGTGTACCAATTGACTCTGTAGGTGGAATTCGGCATTGTTTCAAACTTTTATTTTTTATTTCAGATAAACCAAAATCTCCAACTTTAACAATAAAACCATCTTTTCCTTCTGCTAATAGAAAATTCATTGATTTAATATCACGATGTAGTATAGGTGGTTGTAACATATGTAAATAGTTTATGGATTTTACCATTTGTAATGCAATCATCCAACGATCCGACCATGTTAATATTGGCTCTTTCTTTTGTAAAACATCGAATAAAGATCTTAATGGCATATATTCAGTAATAAGAGCACAGTAGTTGGATTCTATGCATGCACCAAAAACAGTGAGAACATGATCATAACGTATACGATACATTATCGATAATTCATTAAGAAAATCTTGTTTAACACTATCTGGTACGGGATTAATTCGTACCAATTTAATTGCAACTTGTTGATCGCGACTTAACCATGTACCGCGATACACATCAGCAAAACCACCTGAACCTATTTTTTCCTCCATGAGTAAATCATACATTGGTATATGTAAAAATTGTTCTTCTTTCTTTCTTTTTTCTTCTTCATTATTATAGTCAGCATTATTAGTTTTTAAAATATTTTGTTGTAAACTATACTTGGAGGACATTCACCTAAGTTGTACAGTTTAATAAGCAGCGGATGATTACCGGACATGTAACCACTTTTGAAAGATGTGATAGTTTTTACTCTTTTCAGATGCATTAAAAAAGCCTTTAAGGGAATAAATAATTTTCAGTAGAAAAAATGTCGTACACTGTGGTTTGGTTTGGATAAAAATCTCAACAAAACACTTTATTCTGGAATAACATAGACGTTACAGATTTAAACTAGATTAATTTTATCAGAAAATAAAATAAGACTTTAATTTACGAGCTGATCAGGCATAAGAAGACAGTGTAGAATACCATAACTGTGTATAATAACTGATCACCAGTTATATAACTATTTCCAACCGTAATAGGCAGAGTTTTTATTAAGAACAATAGAATTAAGCAGCGGTTTGAATCATATTAAATTTCCTACGTTTCGATTTATTTTTAAAATCATTGTCAGGGATATACAGAAATAAAATAGTTTCTTTTAAACCTAAATGCACTATTGTTCGCTGATTTTTCAACTATTTTTTTTTCTACTATGTAATCTTTCTTTTCTAGAAACAAAAATGAAATAAGAAAATTTGTATTGCATAATTGCAATTGTCCGTATGTATCTGGTATTCGACTATCGTATCTCGTTTGTTTTTTCTCTTTCTTTCTTTCTACGTATTCCTTCGTGAAAAATAATCATCGGAACAGAGTGAGTTGTGCAGTTCAATTCTCATTCTAATATTCTTTTGATCATCAAACTCTCATAGGAGTTTTTGTCACTATCAATAACTTCCTAGTCGATTTTATGACCGGTCTTAACGTCATGTTTTGCTAGAGATGATCTTATCTTGACATTGTCATCATTAGCTATAACCCTGACATTATCAGATGATGAAATTAATTCTGAAACAGAAAACTGTATATCACTATATCACTCATTTGAGAAGTCATCTGTGACATTTTCGAATGCTTTTCTCGCACTCGAAGTGATCGGCATGGAATTGAGTATGGTTTAACACTTTTATCTTTCTTTTCCCGCCTTAACGGACCGATTGAGTCACGTATTTCTTCTGCATCATCATTATTCTCAGCATCAGAACCTTCATTCATTCATTGAAGTCATAGCTTATTAAAAAGTTCTTTCGGAAGACCATGCTCCTGAAGCCTTCTGAGACATTGTCGTTCCATTTTTTCGACATAGCTGTGCTTGCAGCTACTACATTTTGCTTCATAGACGACGTCTGGTTCAAGATGCTGCGGTATTTTGTCTCTGAGTTACGTGGTGTGATTCGCGCGGATAAGGGAGGAAAGCTGACTTGGTACGAATATCTTAAAATTATGTCATGAAACCGGTTCTTCTGTTTCACAAATAGTTTTGACTCTATCCCAGGTTCTAAGTTTCTTTAAATCATTTTCAATTCCAAGTTTGTTCATGAGAAAGTTTTCAAAATCAAAAGTCGACGTTTTACACAGAACTTTCAGTATCATTCGAACGTTCCGAGAAGGAAAGTGCATTTTTCGAAAAAGAAATCTGAAATTCTAGATTGGGTGTGATGTATTAGAACAGAATGATCAATTACCATATTTAGATGTGAATGTAATACGAGCTCAAAACTGTACGGAATTTGAAACAACAGTTTTTCGATAAAATACATTCGTAGGACTTATGATTAATTGGTCACCTTTCATTCCGTTTGAATATAAAAAAGCTGCAATTGTAAATATAGTTCAGAGAGCATTATCGATCTGCTCTAATTACTCTCTATGAACGCGACAAAACCGTCAGCGCGCAAAATCTTCTCTTATTTCGCGAGTGTTACAGCGAACGTGTTACGCTATCTAGCCGTGAAACGAGGCTCGTCAGTGATAAGAAAGTTGACCTGGTTCCGTTTGAATACTTTTTAAAGAATTTTTTCTTACGGTGTGAACAGGTGGGGAGGGGAGGCGGAGTCAAAAAGTCGATCTTTTTCA